CTACACAGTGCACTGGGAAGAATTTTCTCTGAGGCAACTATTCAAATCATGAAGCTGTCTAGAAGTAAAACTAGTATCTAGTAAATGATAATCCTGGTGTGTGTGTGTGTGTGTGTGTGTGTGTGTGTGTGTGTGTGTGTGTGTGGTTGTGTGTGTGTGTTTGTGTGTTTAAGGAAATTCTGCATTCTTCATAGCTATTGTTTAGTATTCTGCATATATCCAGCACCAAGAATGGCATCTTGTAAAATGACACCCAGTGGAAACATTTCCTTTCACTTTGTATTGCCAAGGGAATATAATTAATATGCTAAATGCTTATTCTTAATTTTAGACACTGGCTAGAGTATTTTACCTATCAGACATTTGGTCTCTCTTTTCCATGTTTTATTTCAGTTCAATGAATTTCAAAATTCCCCTTCTATTTTATAATTGTTACAGGGAGAGGACTTAATTCAGATGTATGTATGCTGCTTCTCCTTGATCATGGGCAGTGGGGAGTATTTGTCATTTCAATTAGCATAGCTAAATTATAAACACCTGAAGGTCCTAAAATGTTGATTAAAATTTCCCTTGTATTCCAATGAGATGTGTTGTATTGCTAAAATTTTAGTTATTTCTGACTCTTCCACCATCCCTGACTTTTGAGATTTAAAGATAAATCCTACAAAACCAAAATACAACAAAAGAACAACAAAACCCAGCTTCCTCCTTGTAGGAGGCAGAGGCAAACACATCTTTATTAGGAGTTAGACAGAGAGTGGTATATTTCTTGGAGGCTTTTCCTTTAAATTATTTCTGGTGGAGGTTGGATTTGAGACCTGCTTCTGACTTGCTAAGGGCTATTTATGATTTATTTCAACCTTGGCTGGCTCTAAGGGGAAAAAAATGAACATCAAAAATAGAGAAGCCCTGTCCTCTGTGGTACTCTGTCAGGGAGCACCCGAACTCTTTAGTACAATGTTTAAATTTGGTACTTTTCTTCCACCCCTCAAAAAATAAAATTAAAATCATATATCTTTTTTAATTAGAGAACAAGTGCCATCATTTTTTATAGAGAGTAAATTTCAAGCTGCAAATCTTTTGATGTAGACTTGTCCCCTGAGACATTCCAAAGTACAGTAGGGCAGTAGGGGAATTTTAAGCCCAGGCAAAGTAGCAGTAGGTCATGGTGAGGTGTGGGTGTCATTAAAGTTTCATAGAGATCCATAACATACTAGAGCCACCATAATGTTGACACATGGTCTATAACATCCCCAAAGAAACAGTCACTGTCTTGGCTCTAAGGGACAATGGTCATCTATCAATTTTAATGATCTGCTGGTTTAAAATACTCTATATATGTGTTTATAAAATAGTTAGACGAGTTCTATTCTAATGGGTCAATAATTCATGGACTAAGAGACATAGTACTTAGAAGAGACATAATCAGCTCTAGGTCTGAGTCAGTCATAAGTCGGCCTATAAAAACATGACTAAATACTTGCATGGTCTACATTTGAGCAAGCACAGAATGCAACATATAGAACCGGATGCTGCTTGCAAAGAGTGAATCTATTATCATATTAAGGGATGGCAGCTGTTATGTTTCTGTAGATTTCATCCTATCTCTCTCTCTCTTTTTTTTTTAAGGCAGGAGGAAAAAAAATACTACATTGCGAATTGTTAGACAGCTGCCAGGTAAGATGTGAGTACACAGATATATAGACACAGCCTCAGTGCTGCTTCATGTTATACAGACTCCAGCACTACCCAGGTGCAAGCCACCTCTCTCTCTCCACTGGCTTCCTTGCTGAATCTTTTGCTCCTCCGCTGCCATGCCCATCCTGCTGCAGGGGTCAGCACAAAGGGCCTGCTCTGCTCCAACAACTCCATCTCAGAATCAAAGGCCAAGGCCACTAGAGACAATACCTTCTCACTTTGCCCCACCTCCTCCCACTCAAGTGTAGCCTTCAGCTGGAGCAATAGCCTTTTTGATTCTTTCTGTTTCTTAAGCTCCCAACTGTAAGTCTTGTGGTGGTTTGACTGAAAAAATGTTCCCTATAGTCTTGGTTTGGGCATTGCAACACCTGGTCTCCAGTTGGTGCCACTGTTTGGGGAGGCTTAGGATGTGTACCCTTAGGAAATGTGTCCCTGGGGACGGGCTTTGAGAGTTTAAGGAACTCTGCCATTCCCAGGCCACTCTCTGTCTCTCAGCTTCCAGCCTACAATTTAGGGTGTGAGGTCTCAGTGTCTGCTCCAGCCACCATCCTGTCACTCCATTGTCGTGCCAAGGACTATTATCCCTCTGAATTTACAAGCTCAAACAAGCCCTGCCTTCTCTAAGTCGCCTTGATTGTGATATTTTAGCATGCCAATATAAAAGAAGCTAATACAAATCCCCTTGGGCCTTTGACTTGCCTTTCCCACTTTCCAGAAAGTTTCTTCCATGCATCTCCATCTTTCCTTTCCCCTGAATATCTCACGAGAAAGTAACTCCCTGACCACTATGTATAATGTAGGAACAATTTGTCCCAATCACATGATTCTCCCTCCTGAGTGACCCACTTTTACTGTTCTCCACTACCCCTCCCATCCTTCACTAGAAAGCACATGCATGTGTTCCTTGTCCACATCTCTTCCCTAGAAATTAAGCTGTACCAGGACAGGAGGGCAGGAGCATCACCACCAAGTTTACACTTAGCTGTGCTGAGTCCCTCGGTACAAATGAAGATGTGAAAGTACATGCAAGTATGTATGTGTGGGGACTTCGGGTTTCTTTGATGTATGCCTGTTTAGAAAGAGAATAAACAATACTCTTGTTCTGAACTGGAGTTGTCTCTGGGACCACAGGATGCTTGGCAAATGCTGCTCAATCCTGGTGGTTATATCCATCTCAATCTCAGATGAAACTCCAGAGCAATTTAGTTCATCTCAGCTAGTCACATAAACACACTCCCCTGTCCCCCATCAGCTCTCTGGCCCAGCAGTAACTGCAGAAAAGATGAATACAAGGTTAGCATTTCTAGATCCCCCCCCCTCAAGCTGTGTTCAGGACAGGCTCTGCTGATGGCAGTGGATGGACTAGACTTTATAATCTAACCTTATGTGCCATAAGGGCTGCTGTGTGCCACTTCTGTGTGTTACCATAGCAAACTGAAGAGTTCTGGGTAGAACAATTGTTTTCTGGTAGATTGGGTGACATCCTTCAAGCATTTGCCAGTGTCTCCTTCCTGATCTGTAATGATGTATGATGTTCTCATGTGCATGTGTTCTCACAGATGAAAACTCATAGTAAATTCATAAGAACATTCTGTGTTTGCTTTGTCTTTTCTGAGACAGGGTCTCTATGTGTAGCCCTGGCTATCCAGTAACTCACTATGTAGACCAGGATGGCCTTGAAACCAGAGATCTGCTTGCTTCTGCCTCCTAGGTGCTGGGATTTAAGGTGTGTACTACCATCACCAGGAGCCATAAGATACTTTATTTCAATAATTCAGAAAGGTACCTTTAGCAACAAAAATTAATTACAATGGTGGTGTGATTAGTTGAGACAGGCTATGGACAGCTTGTCTGAATGTTTAACAATGTCACTGTCTTGATAGTGGCATCTACTCAAGACACTGACTACAATGAGTAGTCCCAATTGGCCTTACAGAACTGGAAGGAAATCTGTCTGCATTATGGTATTTCAATGACATATTGACTAATTAAAAGTCTCTTTGCTGTTAACATGCTTAGCTTCCTCCCAGGCCTACCCAAAACATTGGTCTATACAATAACACTATAAGACACAAACTAAGTAAAAAGTTGAAGTCATGTAGGCCATTCCAACTCCTAAACGCAATATGGATTAACTGAGAAACAATTTATGCTAAATTATTTGAATAGGTGACTCAATGCTGTCATTTTTTTCATGTTTATATGAAATGTAATTGAAGTTTTAGTACATGCCTATATGTGAACAAGTTTCTAAAATTGTTTTAAGGAACAGCAGGAAGTAAAAATTTAACACAAGCAACAATGACAAAAGTCAGATACTAGGTGTTGGTGCACATCTTTCAGAACCCCAGGTGCAGGGAAATAATGACTTCCATAACCACTACTGATGACTTTTACAGAGGAAAGATTTCAAATAAACGTCTGTTTGCTTTAGGTGAGCTTCACTGAGCTGGACTTATTTGATTTCAGATCCTCCTAAGGGAAGAGATTTCAGGATTTCCTGCTTGTAAAATGGAACGAACACTTCGCTGAACTTGTATGACATCATCTGAGGCATTAAAGGGCAGATAATCATGGGTACTTTGCCTGTTTGCCAGCATCTTCCTCTCTTCAATCTACTGCATTTCCAAATGTCAAAGTATACTAAATCCAAGATTTACAGACTGCAGAAGTAAAGAAATACCAGCATAAACCCTCTAGCTTTTGTGAAATGTTTTTAAATAATCATAAGATGAGCTTTGTGAAGTGTTTTACAGACTGCACATGGAGTGCCTTATATTCCACGTGATGACTGTTTAACAGTATAACCACCGCTGAATAGTTTGCCCCTTCCCTAAAACAGTCATGAAACCACTCTTTCCAATTCACACCTGAATCAAAATACAGAGAAAATAGCTTTGAGAAAGAGAATATAATTAATTAAATGTAGTTAACTAACTAATGCCAGACTACACAAGGAAAACAACAATTTCCTTCCTAAACTCCAGAAATTCACTTATGTTAAAAAGGGTAAATGTAGTTGCCATTAAATTATATGTATATATACATAAACACATGCACATATATGTACACACAAAAAAACAATAAAGTTGTAAGCAAATAGTTTTCAAGCTGATACTACAGCAGATATTTTGCAATACCCTTAAAAATATGGAAGATAAATAACTAATGCCAAACTATTTCAAAGATCTTATTCTAGGCAGACAGCAGACATACTATTTCTGAGACTAAATGAACTTCTTTGTTATGCAAAACCCCTCAACCATAAGTTCATGAAGAAACATGAAAGGAAATGGTCTTGCCTCATATTCGAAGTCTTCTGCTCTGTCTGCATCAGCGGGCAGGCTGGAAACACACTCATTATCTTCATAAAATCCATGCCCCATTGCATGAAGAGAATGGCAGCTGTGGGAAATGCAGCAGCAAAACAGAAATGGATCATAAGGATTGCTCTCATGATTAAAATGGAGTTTAGAATCTCACCTTAGACTTTTTAGCTTTGCACAAAAATCTAATTGCTTCAATTGAAGCACTTGCTTTTCTTTTTTCCCTTTTGGTAAAGCCTCTCACTGCCCTATTTCTGAAGGCTAAAGGGAAAGCTCTGAATTCTAGTTCCATTTTGCAATGACACCAATGTCAATTTTCCCATGGTCCATGGTGCTCCATGTACTCTGACTTGCTTCCATTCCACTGAGTGTGACAATAGCTGCATAAGCATATTCCATTTAGAATTGCAACCAACTATGGTGCAAGACCCAAGGTCCAAACTGGTTGTTCATGGCATTTTCAAAAGCACTTGTTTTTCAGACCATAAAATAAACCCTCATTACCAGGTAGTGGTAGTGCACGCCTTTAATCCCAGCACTCGGGAAGCAGAGGCAGGTGGATCTCTGTGAGTTCGAGAGCAGTCAGGTCTAAAAGAGCTAGTTCCAGGACAGCCTCCAAAGCCATAGAAAACCCTGTCTCAAAAACTATATATATATATATGTGTGTGTGTGTGTGTGTGTGTGTGTGTGTGTGTGTGTTTGTATGCCTACATTGATGTTTCTCAAGATTACACCCCACTTTTCTCTCTCATTGACCCAACCCTCCCTTTTGATAAATGGCATGTTCACAAATAGTAAAAACATTCCTGGTGACAGCTCTCTGCCATTGTGGACATTGTCCAGTAAGTTCAACTGTCATAGACCATCTTTTGTCTAAAATGCTGAGGCTTATGTCAATGTCCTCTTATAAGGCCAGATTAAATTCTCATCTGTATCTTTTTACTATGGCTAGGGCTGCTGGGCTACTAAAGCTAAGCGATGTGAGAACAACTAGCAAAAGCAGTACAAGGCAGAATCCTGGCTACTTGTCTCCTGGATAGATACATTCCCCCTTCCCAGAAAACAAGGGGAAGGTAACAACTCTTTGTCTGGGGAATTGATGTGTTCCTTTTGCCCTATCAGCTTGTAAGAAGGGAACACCATCATAAGAAAGACCTTAATCATTTTACAAACATTTCCCAAGCGCCTTTTAGATGCCAGGCTCTGTGCCAAGGGCTAGAAATATGCTCATATACAAATCTAATTCTTGCTCTATTCAATGAGGAAAACAGTAGAGTGGCAATTTTAGTATAAGGAAATAATTAAAAGGAAAATATGGACACTGTGGTAGCACAGCTGATAGCTGCAGGAAGTAGGGGAAGCATTTCTCCACACCACTCAAGGAATGTCAGTCTGCACCCAGATTAGAAGCCAGAATATGGAACTTCCTTGCTATGTTATCTTGGCCAAACACCTGCACATGGGTCTCCTCATCTGCAACATGGGGATGGTAATAATATAGTCACTCTGTTCCAAAGCTGCTGTGAGGACGCAAGGAGTCATGTAAAACACCTGGACTATTACCTGAAATGTGTTAGACAGTAAAAGCTAACTTTCTGCTCATACACAAAAGCATGTTCTGCCAGGCTACTGTGTGTAGGGATGTATTCATGAATTTCACATGTTTGTTTACTTACTGTTCATTCCCACTGAAGAATATAAATACTAGGGATTACTGGCTTTATAGCTGCTCATCATTTCATTGTTTGTACCTGGTACAATGCCTGATACAAGAGTTACTCATTGTGTAGTAGCAGAATAAACACAGACACACAAATACACCACAGCCTATGCCCTCTTGCAAGCAGAAGCCTCAAGAGGTAGTTTCAAAAACTTGCTTGTATATTAAAATTGCTTTGAGGAATGTTTGAAAAATTGTTGTTGCTCAAGTCCACTCCAAAATTTCTTAATTAATTCGCTAGAGAGAAGACCGCTGCTGCGCTTCTGTTCTTTAGGGTTCCCAGGCGAGCCCACTATGTACCTGTGGCTCACTGAAACAGGCTGTGGAAAGTAACTAATAGGCTGGGACAATAATGTGGGTATTTTTACAAAATAGAAGCTGAGAGAGACAGAACAGTGAAAACGCAGCCTGAAGGGACCATTGCTCTTAGGAAGCAAACTCTGGACAATGTGTGAAAATCAGTTAACACAGAGAACAAAATGTATGGGGCAAAAAACAGACAGGCGACAGCATTTAAATAAAATACCCACCTTTAAATTTTGTAAGATTGGGAGGAAAATTCCTTTAATTTGCTGCTGTTGTGTTTACTCTGTGAAAACTAGGGCCCTTTGTTTGCATCTCAATATATCTGGTAATTGGTTTCTTTGGAGAATTGTAGTTGAGTTAAATCAGTGTCCCAGATTCTTTAGTAAAGGAAGGACAAGCAAGGGACAAAGAGGTGACTGTCAGAGGAGAACATGGTGCCAGCATGTCACTTTCACCTGAGTCTTAATGAGGCTCTTTTGGCAGCTTGGGTGAGAAAAGTTAGTTCTCTGAGCCTTGAAGGGTAGAAAGAGGAAGGCTAGCAAAGGAAAACCTGGCTTTTCACTGTGCCTTGGAAAGTCCATAGTGCATCTAACTGTGTGGCCAGGGAGGACAGCAGCAGAGACAGCTGAGAGCACACTGTGGGGAGACACTTCTGAGCTGGGAGCCTGTCCCTTGCACTGTCAACTTCCGAGGTGTCTGGCTCATTCTAGTGCCTGCTTTAAATGGCGAACAAACCCGGCTTTAAGATAAAGGTGAGAAAGAGAGATACCTGTCTGAAAGCAGGAATGGACAGGTGTCTGGCACTGGAGGGGTGAGGGGTCGCAGCTTGGCTAAGGCCATGATGTGTTCAAACGTGATGTCCGTCTGTGTACTGGCGTTCATGAGCTGGACTTCTGGGACCATGCCATACATCGGTCTGCTGAGGGGAGTCCGCCTTAACACCTGCACCACAATGGGCTCCTTGGCAGTTCGAAAGGCTTCCACTGCCTCCTCATGGGTGGCCTTTGACAGATCCTTGCCATTGACCTATGAAGACACAAGGGCAGTATGCAACTTAAAGAATGGAAGTCTTCCAGGACAGACTGACCAGTGCACGTATGAGTTGTTTGAAGGAATATTTAATCAGACATTGACATTTGGTGAACTATCTGCCAACATAAGGAAACAACAAATCGAGGAAAAAAAAAAACACTTATAATTTTATGAAGTACCGGAGTTGGTTAATAAAACACCATTGGAAATCAGAAAATGTCAGTCAAAATCTTCAGCTATGTAGAAACACTGCATATGTATGCACACAACATTTAAAATATTGTTAATCTTTTGTGACATTTTTAGCACTAAAGATACATCTGAAATTTACTTTTTCAGGACACTGTCCAATTTCCTTATATCCCTCTTTATTCAAGACCATGTTATTGAATGCATGCATAGCAGAAAACCATAATAGTTCAACATGAGCCAATAGCATCAACATCACCAAAAAGGTTGTGAACTTGTGAACGTGAAGAGCTCCTGAATCTACCCCAGACCTGCTGAGTCAGAATTAGCATTTTTATAAGATCCCAAATGACTCAGACATGCTTGAAATGAACACTATTCTAAATACCTTTGAGAGAGGACACTACACCCCTCAGGATCCACACCACACCTCTCAGGATCCTTGCCCATTTTGGCACCTAACTCTTTAAGATTAATTTCAGACAAAAAAGATGGGTGAAGTTCTCATCCTGTCTCCCTTACAATCTGCCAACAGTGACAGACCATTTGCAACTCTAAGAGCCAGTAATATCCCCTGGTGTTTGTAGAGCCCAAACTTTCTACACAGTTCTTTCCCAACTGCTCTTAAATGGTGTCAAACTATTGCCCTCAAATAGGTCCTGATAACATACTTTGTTAGTGGAGAATACAGAATAATGTGAAATTAATTAACTGTGGCTTTTTCAAATGTGAAGATATATTTAGTAGCAAAATACTGTCCCAAATACCCTAAATGGTGTCATTCCTAGACATCTATCTGAGCCACTGGTTTGTTGGTGAAGCTGTGGCCACTGCCTTGAGCTGACAAACTCTTAAAGAGCCTTAAGTGTCTAACAAAGGAAGGCATGCTGGTTGAGGAACAATTGCTGACATTCAAATGAGCACATTCTCTCTCCTGCAGTAGTCAAAGAAAGTGTGTCTGCTGCTCAGAACAAGTATGGGGCAACTGGTAAATGATACGATCCCAGGTGAAAGCATCATGCCATATAGGGACAAGTTTAATGACCAAGGATAGCTAATTTGTTCAATGGACCCTGAAAGAGTTGATGTGCCCTAAAAAAATGAGCAGTTAAGTTTCCACACAAGGAAAATATGTCCCAGTACCATTGCTGGGTCACTAGGGAGATTCAGATGGAGATTTCACTGGCACTTAGCGATATACACACGTCCACCAACCTGCACATTCACATTCTGACTCTTATCTCTGTGTACCTAACTTGGAAAAGGACCCTAAGGTTTTGTTGATAGCACCTTGGAGTGTTTGACTTGGGCGTATTGGATATATGCACAATGGACATCTAAGTACACAGAAATCATTCCTTGAGCTTGCTCTGGATGACTGTGCCCCAGGGCCAGAGCGCCACCACTATCTCCCTTGAATAGATAATCATAAATCGAGGTCAGAATGCAGGAGGACAACCCCACTCCATGATGAACATTGTCATCCTCCATGTAATCCATTATGGTCAGTATTTATGCATTTTGGATTATGAGGATGAGCAAGTGGCAATGAGAAGACAACTCATTTCCATCTTTTATCCTTAAGTTTAGCAAACTCTTTCTTGCTGTGTTTCATACCATTTCCATCTGAATGAACTCCCAGTGTGTTCCTTCCTATTTACCTTCTCCTGCAACTGTGTTGTTGTGTTACCTTTATGCGGGCCTTGCATCAAAAACAACCTCTATCTGATAGTGATGGGGAAAAGTACTGCATCCCTGGGAAGGAGCTTCAAGCAATGTCTAACCAAAGGGCAAATGTGTGGTCAGGCTTTCCTCAGTCACAGGTTGGAGTCTACTGGTGCATAAAGTGTGTCTGTCAGCAAGCTATTGACAGACAATGCCATTAATCTAGGTATCTTGCCTATGTATTAACCTAATTTTATGTTCAGTATTCATATTTGTTTCAGTGACCTTCAAAGAAAAAATGACTTTAATAATTGAGTTTCCACAGACCGTAGAGTGGACCAGACTAGGAACCTTGCTGCTGAAACTCGTGAAAGAAAACAATTGAGAACATGCTGAACTTTTGATCTACAAAGAGACAATATCTATAAATGGTCCATTGAAGCTAGCTGAAACCTCTGCAGAGAAACAGGAAGGAAGGCTGAGAACCGGAGCCATTCAGGAAGCCTTCCTCAGTGGCTACCATACCAACCTGCCTAGGAAACTGCCCTGGAGGGAGCAGTACAGTTGGGAAAGAAGGGCTTGCTGTTCCTTATACACCAGATCTGCAGAACTAGAAGAAGGCATGGTAGAGGCCAGGGGCCCTACCACCTCATAGAGCCTACCAGAAACAGGAGGATCTGAGAACCTTACCCTTCAACTCAGCACTGCTCTACCAGCATGCAATCTTTTTATTTCTCATGTTTTTCTGCTTACATTCCACTCTTGCATGCATATGTCACAATGGTTTTGCTCTTGTTTTTATATTCCTTGGGGTTTTGTGATCCTCGTCTGTGTTTCTCCACCTCGTTCATTATAAGCCATTCTTTATTACACTTTTTAGCCCATCTCATATCCCCCAATTCCTATTTCTTTCTTTGCTGCTGTTTTCCAATCCTTCCCCTTTACTTCCCATTGGTCATTTTCTGAAACAGTATCCCAACTTTCCCTTCCTTGCTACTGTACAAAGTTGATCTAAGACTTAATCCTTATCCTTACACACACTACTTTCTCATACTCATAATCTACACACACTACTTTCTCATACTCATAATCTTATTAACTAAAATCTGGATATACTCCGTATTATCACTGATTATTTGTCTTCCAACAGTTATTTGATGGGAGATGTCATTCTGTATATGTTTCTCATACTGGTTAATAATAAAGCACTGTTGGCCAATAGGAAAGGAAGATAGGAGGGACTAGGAGACAAGGAGGAAATAGGAAGTAGGAAGGAGGAGTCAAGATGGAGAGTCTGAAGAAAGCAGTATGCCGCCGGCTCCCCGGTAAGAGAAATACATAGAGCAGCAGAAATGGGTTAATAATTAAGGCAGAGCTAGCCGATAAGAAACAAGTAACCGGGCCAACAGTATTGTATCAAATACAGAGTCTCTGTGTATTATTTGGCGGCATGGCGGTGGGACAAGACCGGGAGGCGGCAGGCAGAAAAACAGTACACGTTACAAATGGCGCCCAACGTGGGGCTCGAACCCACGACCCTGAGATTAAGAGTCTCATGCTCTACCGACTGAGCTAGCCGGGCCCCCTGAAACAGAGTCGCTGGTGATCCAACGTTCAAAACAGCTTAAACAAGGCAGCCTTGCAGACTACAGTCAGGATTTCTGCATCTTCTTAGAATCCCTCATGACAGCGCCCCCTATCAGCAGGAAGTAGTTTGGAAAGAACGACGCCCAAATTCCCAAATATTTATAAATGTTTGTTTTCATTTAAATGGATTTGGTTATAAATGGTTAATGATCACAGCCAATTCTTTTTAAAGGTAAAAAGGGAATTATGGTATAGATATGAATACTTTGTTTTGGAAGGGATTTTCATTTATTGATACAATTTAAGGTCAATTTTGTCATATGTATATTTCTCCTCTTGTTTGTATAGCTCATTTAGAAATGTAATGTATAATTTAGTACAGATTTTAGATAGTTACCTATAATATTAAAAACTTATAGCTAGGTGAGTTAGGTTTTCTAGATATATAGAGATGTATTTGAGATAGATAGGAATTCTTCAAATCTTTCAAAGACCTACAGAATATGGCATTTAAAATGGTTTAGGGTTTTTCTCGACAATGAGACATAAATGCTCCTGGTAACACCACCTGCATCAAAAAGGAAGATGAAGATGGACATTGAAGAAACTCGTGATGGAGTTTACTTCCAATATGGCAAGACTAGCCATTTGGACAAAGATACTGCTCTTGTCTGGAATGTTTGACTTTATGCTGTATAAACTGGACATGCAGGACCCACAGAAAAGTGACTGCTGATTCAAGATGGACATTGCTACAGAGTTCTGCTTCATGGAAGAGTCTGTCAGACAGTATGCAGGACACAGAGAAAAGTGACTGACAAACTGCCAAGAAGACAGTTTAAAGTTTCCTGCTTTGCTGAAGAGTCTGCCAGACACACTATGGCCTATGGGCTGAAGATGGAAGATTACAAAAGAACTTCGGGTGACCAGGCAGTGAGTTGTCTCTGTCATTTGTAGAGTTTATATATTATCCTTCTGTGGTCTTTGAAAGAGTTGAAGACAAATAGTTATGGTTATAGTTTTCCTTAGTTAGGTTTAAAGATAAGTTACATATAGGACTTTAGATTCACAAATATAGGATAGATGATAGAATAGTTTCTTTTAGTCTTGCTAAATGTTAATGGACTAAATATTGTTAACTGTGATTCTTATTGGATAACTGTTATGTGATATATTTTGCTATGTTAAGGTTAAAACCCTTCTTTTTATTTAGACAGAAAAGAGGAGATGATGGGAGATGTCATTCTGTATATGTTTCTCATACTGGTTAATAATAAAGCACTGTTGGCCAATAGGAAAGGAAGATAGGAGGGACTAGGAGACAAGGAGGAAATAGGAAGTAGGAAGGAGGAGTCAAGATGGAGAGTCTGAAGAAAGCAGTATGCCGCCGGCTCCCCGGTAAGAGAAATACATAGAGCAGCAGAAATGGGTTAATAATTAAGGCAGAGCTAGCCGATAAGAAACAAGTAACCGGGCCAACAGTATTGTATCAAATACAGAGTCTCTGTGTATTATTTGGCGGCATGGCGGTGGGACAAGACCGGGAGGCGGCA